AGCATTAAAGAACTAAGAGGAATTTTGTGTTTTGTTGGTGCTATACTACACCCTGGCTGGCTCATCCTTTCCTTACTGTGTAAGGGGCTGTCCAATTGTCTACAGATGGACTTTGGATCTCCATTCTGACCCCCCTCATTCATTCCCATCAAAATGGTTGGTTGTTTTGGGTCTTCTGATGCCTGATACCTGATCCCATGAACACATGTGTTGGTGTGCTTCTTCCATATGGGCTTTGTTGCTTCCCTACTAGATGGCCACTTGCTTAACTTCAAGCCTTTAAGACCCCAGATGCTATATCTTGTAATAGCTGGACACCATCAGCTTTCTTCACATTAGCTTATGCACCCATTTTGTCTTCAGCGATGGTGTTGGAAAGGTGAGCATCACAGAATGCCAGGTTATTAGAACAGAGTTCTTGCATTGAGGGAGGACTTGAGTAGAGACCCAATGTCTGTCTGCTACCTTGATACTGAACCTATAAATATATGTACATAGACCTATATTCCTATCGTTATATATTAATATATTTACATATGTACATACCTATGTTTATACCTCTATAAATGTCTTTTGCCTCCTAGTTTTTCCTGTTTCCTTTTACTTTCCTCCTGCCCCACTATCATGTTCGATCTTCATTGGGCTCTCTGCACTTCCTCTTGGTTACAATGCACTTGATCAAACCCCACCTGGCATTCAAAGCCCTCCTTGCCATTGATTTTAGAACTCGTTGGCACCTTGTCCCTGGGTTTGTTGGCTTCCCCCACCTCCTACTCTCCCCCATCCCTGCTCCCGGAACTGTTGGTCCCGTTGTTTTCTCCTTGGGTTTGTTTCTCCTGCCTAACTTATATAGATAGACATGAGAAAAAAAGAAAGAAAAAAGCCTATTCAAGGTCTGTTTGCTGGCCTTTATGAATGTTTTCGGATTGGGTCTGATGCAGTGCCAAGCCCTGTCCCCCGAGTCCGAAGTCTTATTTTCAGAATTCCTCGGGGACTTTGTTGCTTTGCTCCGCTTGCTGCTCTGTTGCACTCCCTTCCTGTTACGCCCTGGTGTGTGTGTGGGGGTGTGTGTGTGTGTGTGTGTGTCAGACCAGGTACCATTCCTGCACTGTCTCTGGTGCTGCCCCCCCTCCCCCGCAAGTAGTGCTATGGGTTAGTAAGGGGACGTCATGTCTTGTGCTGAGACCCACCCTATGGTCCTCTCTGTGCATTGGTTGCTCTGAGCAGGAATGTCATCGTTGAAGCATGGCTGGCTAGGATGCTAGCCACTCTCTCTCCCTTTCCCTTTAAATATGCTTCCGTGTGGTCTGGGCAGACAAAACTCTCTCTGATAACATGTTATTTTAGAACCATTTAGTTTTATTCTTTGCTTTTGCAGATTCTTCAATGATTTCACCTCAATGAAGCTACCTAACAATATCTGAGTGTAAGTTAAAAAGTATTGCTTATATGGAATGTTATGACATCTGTAAGAGCGCCCAATAAAATTATTTTTTAAAGTATTGCTATACAATAGAAACCTTTATTAAAAATATAAAAACGTGAAGCTATTATTTCTGAATTTACCTTTCATCTAAATTGATGCATTTCTAAAGTCAGTGTTTCCATCTCTCTAACTCTTCCCCCAAACAATTGTGTTCCCTTTTAAATGCTCTTTGAGTTTGGGCAACAAAAAGAAGCTGGAAAGGCAAGATGAGAATGTAGGGTGGGGGGGTTGTTTTCTCAACAAAATCTTGCAGGCCTGACAATGTAGGGTGAGCAGGTGCCTTGTGGCGGTGGAATCATTCCTCGGTGCAACTTTCCGGACCTTTTCTCACCATTTCCAAAACATGTTCTTTCTACTCGAGCCCTTGGTATCAGTTCCTTCCCCCTTCCCCCTCCCCCCTTCTGAGCCCTTAATTTATCAATTATGTTTTTTATGTTTTACACCGTCCGCTGTCTCCCTTCACCCATGTCTTTCTTAATGAGATGGCATAGAATTGGTGTTAATTCTTGAAATGTTTCGTAGAACTTTGCAGTGAGACCATCTGGGCCTAGTGCTCTCTTTTGGAATGACTTAATACAAATTTCATTTCCTGTAACAGTCTTGTGTTTCAGATCAGGTGGGCTTGTGTTGAGGAACTGGTTCATTTGTGTTGCTGTTAAACTTATTTCCCTGAATAGTTCCTTTTGACTTATTTTTGGTTCACTAATTCTCCATGAAGGTGTCTCTAAATTGCTTTTAAATGTCTCTATTATGGGTTTGCCATTAATGTTGGTTGTTTATTATATTTTTTATTTCTAAAGGTTGTTTTTTTTTATTTCTAAAGGTTTTTGACTCACCTTTTAGATAACTTCCCATTTTACCTGTCCATTTTCTTTTGGTTCCCTGTGGGTAATTTTACTTGTCTTTCTTTGTGTACAAAGTTTTTCCTAGTCTGCCTTTTAGTTCGTTATCTGAAGTCTTTGAGAATCAGTTTATAGTTTGTTTTTTAATTGGTTCTGACCGATCATGCATTGTTTTCTCATGTGCTTCGGCTACTAATCTAAAGGGTGATCATTCAAACCACTCAGCAATGCCTTAGAAGAAAGGCTTGGTAACAACTGTAAAGGTTACAACCAAGAAAACAGTATGGAGCAGTTCTACTCCGTAACAGAGTAGAAAGGTAGAAAGGCTTGCCTGGCCAGCCACAGGCTGGTCCTAGGAAGCTGACAGAACTTCTCCATCGGGTTTCCTTGGCTGCAAAGCTACTGGACGGGTCTGAATCAACTTGGATTAGTAATTGACCAGGATTTTTCATATGAATGGGAGAAGTAGGGTGTGTGTTTTTTTAAGTTTTATTGAGAGACAATTCACATGCCACACAATTCACCAATTTAAAAACTACGTGTCATCTTCAGTATGTTCACAGAATGGTGCCACCAGGATCACTATCTAAGTTTAGGGTGTTGTTTTCACTAAAAGAAACACTGTACTCATTAGCAGTCAATCACTAAACACCAGCAAGCATGCGCAAGTACATGTTGGGCACCTTTTTAAGAGGTAGGATTTTTAACTAGGCAGTGTTGGCTCCTTTGTGCTCTGTGGAGTAAATGTGGATGAACGAACAGTCTTCTCGTTGCTTCCTATTTGATAGAGACTGGAAGCTTTACCCAAGCAACCAAGTGACGTTTTCAGTCCCCAAACTAGAATTGACATGGGCTGGCTTTCTCACTTGATGTACACTCATACTTTCGGGAACGTGGTGGACTCGGAACATTTTCTCATAAGCAGGCATTGCTGGTCTGCTGTGTCACACATGTGAGCTTGGATTAACATGACTTATCATCTTATCCTTCAGATCCACAACTCATTGCCACGAAGGGTAGGATGTTAAGAAAAATCTATCAAATGATGATCTACCTGAAACAGACACATAAGTATATTCTAAGCTTTCAAGAGCCAGGTTATCTACTGACCGACTCAGTGCAGATTACGGAAAACCAAAACCTTTATCTAATCGGTCTTCTCCTTTCACCTCAGTAACACTAGGGCACAGTAACGTATTTGAAAGTTTCATCACCTGTTGGGACTTAAGGAGCTTGCCTTTGTGGACATCAGATGGAGGGGGGGACGTGAGGGGAAAATGTGGAGATCCTGCCCCAGACCCCAACAGACTGGGAGCTATGACAGAAGAACAGGAAGAGAGAGGGCAGCCCTGTTTTGTAGTTGCCTTCATTTTTTCCCCCTTCATTTTTAACAGCAGGATTTCCATATCAACCAGCCAAGGGCGGGGAAACGTTATGGATGGAAGACGCTGCAAACAGCTAAGATAAAGGGGAGTTTCTAAGTAGAGTGAATGCATATAAGAAAGCCTTTAGGGTTGTGTCAACGTCAAAGGGGAAGCCTGCTGGTGACATTGGCTGGGAGTCGGGTGGTGTCTTCTCTTTGACCCTCTTCTAAAAAATGGGGGAGCTCTCACTGCCATCGAATTGGTGCCAACGCAGCAAGACTCTAGAGGGCAGGGGAGAACTGCCTGTTAGTTTGAGACTGTAACTCTTTACGGGCATAGAAAGCCCCGTCTTTCTCCCAGAGCACCTGGTGGTTCCGAACTGCTGACCTTGCATACTTAGCGGCCCAACACATACCAAGTTTTCCGAAACCAGCTTTGTAGATGTTTCTCATGAATAAGCTCTTAATCCAGGAAGCTTTACCTCCATTAAAATAAAATTTTACTGCCAAATTGGGACCTCTTCTTGAAAACAGTAGGTGAACTACTCATCTATCACAGTACCCATCAGGATGGCATTTGAAGCCAAGTGTGACACTACCAGGAAGCACCTGGTGCAGCCCAGAAGGAACACAAAGGCCCCGGAGGGGGCTGCTAGGTGGAAAAATCACCAAAACAAATCCTGCTCTTTAGATAGGGAGCGCGGCCTATGGCGCAGTGGTTATGGGTTGGTGTAGAGCAAATAGGGAGGGAACATGCTAACTGCTCTTACAGTGGTCCACCTTCCCTTCCAACTCATTGACCTAGCAAGTGTTCACTCTTCAAAGGGGATCTTGTATGTTGACTCATTAGTCAGCTGTTCCTCTCCATTGAAGTCAGGATTGTGTGTGTGTGTAAAATGTATGGGAGACCATGATTTAAAGCAATGAAAAAAGACAATCTAATTTAATAGTTTGAGAGCATCTCCTCTTGCTCCTCCCCTTTCTCACCACCCAAGGGTGAAAGGAGAGGGCCAAGGACAGACCAGTATGAGGACAAATGTGTGGAACCTGCCACCCGCTCTGACTGTTCTGGGAGGCAAATGCTGCACTGCCGATTCAGAAAACACTGGTGCTCCAACGTGGCCAATCACCAGAGTAAACCATCTGGATTTCGGTGCAGGCGTCAACTCTTGCTTCATTCTTGTGTCCTCTCCCCTGAGACCCTCCATAATCACCTCTATCTCAAAAATATGGATACAAAGGCTCTTTTAGCAGCAGACAGATTAAGAAGTCCTCCACAATAGGAAAAGTATTACCCTTTGAAATGGGATATATTTACAAATTTTATTTTCCCCCCCAAAAAATACATAAAAATGAAAACCTGCTATTCAAATGCAGGCAGGCTTTTGCCTCTAATGCCGTAGTACATTTACGCCACCAAGTTTTCTCCGGCGGAAATCAGTCTGCAGCTCTTCACACAAACGTGTGTCTACATACATACCATATATGGAAGTAGATAGGACTTTTCTACTTACACGTATTCCTCTGGTAGAAAACTAGGAAACTGGGTAATGCCCCTGGCTTTCCAGCCTCGGAAGGTAAATAACAACCGCGTTGAACATTTTCCCCAAAGATGAGACATGTAAAATACACAAGCTCTCTTGGACGTGTACAAATGTTAGAACTGAACAAAGACCCTGCCATGTAAGTGACATTGTACTTCTTGCAGAAGGAAAAAAAAAGGTGAACAGGTGAGTAAAAATGCAAATCTGAAGAACAAGATTGTTTTGTCCCACGCTCCATGGGGGAGTCAGGCATCCCCACGAGGGACGACCATCAGCCTCTCGCAGTGCTACGCCTGCCCCTGCTGGCAGCAGTCCGAATCTTCTTGTCCAGTCCTAGTTTAAGCCCACTCCAGAAAGCAGCGGTTAAGTTCAGCAATCTATGACGAGATCAGGGGTAAACTCCCACCGGGCCCAAAATGAAGTCCCAATGCCACTAGGCCTCAAGAGCTCAAGCAGGTCAACACTTTGGTATATACTGGAGGCTGTGTGGCTGAGGACCAAAGTTTTAGGATCTTGCCCCCAAAATGCAAAAAAAAAGAAAAGCTGGTCCACAAAATGTTAACTGTATAAATAATGTATCTGTACAAAGAGAACAAGCCACAATTCTCCCCCTTAACCAAGGGCCTATAGTTTCCTAGGTGGCAGTTTTAAAAGCACCAACTAAAGCCATGAACGCTTCTACTAGACCACGGTGTGTTGGAAGTGGTGAGGCTGCTCTGAAACAAAGGACCACGGGCGTGGACGTGACCCAGGGGCCACAGGTGAGAAGTCCAACCAAAGAGAAGTCCGTTTCTTACACTGGAACAGAAGCTGGTCAGCAACAGAGGAAAGACTTAAGGCAGTAAGAGGCATTTCGGAGCTCTCTTGGTCAATCCCGAAGCCTTCTGAGAAGGAAAAGGCCTCTCAATAGTTCGAAGTCATTTCTTAGTTTGCTAGCTGTCCGATACTTCCTCCTCTTCCTCCTCCTCCTCGTCCTCTTTCCTGTCTACTTCAGAAGTGTCAGAGGACTCATGAAGCAAGACATACTCTCTGCTACTGAACCCAAATTTAAGCACATCCTTTTCCTTTAGTTCGTAGTAACGCTGGGGCTCGATGCGCTTGTTGTTTAGGAAGGTCCCGTTGCCCGAGCCTAGGTCAATGATGTAGGGCTTCACCCTGCGGCCAACCGTCCCATCGGCGCGGGTGTGCTCCACCAGCCTGGCAGAAAGAAGAGAGAACACGTGAGCAGCACCTGCTTCTCCAAAGCTCGTGGCTACCACAGCCTGGAGCAGCGGTTCTCAACCTATGGGTCAAAACCCCTTTCACAGGGGTCACCCGATTCATAACAGTAGCAAAATTAACAGTGATGAAGTAGCAACGAAAATAATTTTATGGGGGGGGGGGGTGTCCCCCCAACATGAGGAACTATATTAAAGGGTCATGGCATTAGGAAGTTTGAGAACCACTGGCCTAGAGGATGATGCATTAACCCGGCTTGTACACAGTTCAAGTTAAAAATTCTGGGAAATCAAGAAAAAAGGAGTAGCCTTAGATCAGAAAGTTGGAGGGTCATTTACACACACTTAGTAGAAAGGGGAGACTTGGCCACTGGAGGCATGGGGATCCCACAAACAACCTGGGCAGAGGCAGGGGCGAGAGGCACAATCTGAGTTTCTAATGCCAGGTCCAATACATGTAAGGGATTATTTAAGGGGCAGTCAAAAAGACGAACCATTCTCCAGCTACGAATTAGTTACATGGGGGCTGGGATTCTCCTGCACAAAGATACACACAAATCTCAATAATCCTAACAAATGGAGCCATTCCGGTGCACACTTACCGATACTGAAATACTGCGTGCTGCTTAGAACAAGAGGGGTGGTCAATGGGAATGTCGGCGATGCGGCGGTGTCTGCCCAGAAGGTAGGCACTCTGCCGGTGGATGTACATGACCGGGAGCACCTCGTCATTCTTAAAGGGGTAGAGGCGCCACCTCTTCTTTGGGATTCGTGCTTCTGGGGGCTCACTGTATTTAATGACGACCCCCCGGAAGGTGTTGGTGTCCTCTAGAAGTGCCCCCGAGAGTTCAAAGCTTGGCTTTTCTTTAGCGGGAACCTCTTTTTCTTTGCTGTTGCTGCCTGGCTGGGGAACCGCCTCCTGAGACTCATTCTCGTTGGCACTCACTTCGTTCTTCTGCCGGTGCTCCCGCCGCCTAGCATTGTGCAGCTCCCTCTCAGCTTCCTGGGCCTGCAAGCTCTGGACATCCCGGTCCCGTCCCTGCGCCTGGCCGCTGCCAGGCCGTTCGTTAGAGGCCCTCCTTTGGTGGGAATGTCCGCGGTGTCTCTCTCGGTCGCTGTTCCGAGCTCGGCGGTGTTCCTGCTCTGATGGCTCCCGGTGAGGCCGATCCTCCCGCCCTTTCCGGGGATGATCTTCCCGCTCCTAAAATTCAAACCCACTCGGTCAATCAGAGGCACACCAGTTATGCCCCAAAGGTCATCTGCCCTTCAAAACAGGGCAGTTCATCTGTGGCAGCTCTAGCCCTTTGCCAGGCCACAACCATGTAGCCATGATGCTATTCAACTCTAGCCCAGAGTCCTAACAAAGGAGGGATTTTTTGGTACAGAAAAAAGAAAAATGATTAATAGTTTCCCTTTGGAACTAAAACTTCAAAGTAAACATAAGGACTACACAGAAAATGGAACTCAAAGAGTTAAATAGCTATGCATAAGATAACAAAGGGAGAAAGCTAGCTTTTATGTCAACAATAAAAATGTAATACTAAAAAAATTCCACTTTAATGGCAACAAAAAGTATTCAATAACTAGGAATAATCTTAAAGAATATGTAAAACAGTTACAGGAAAACTGTAAAAATGCACTAATAGACATTTTTTAAAGACTTAAACACACATACATACCATGGATCGTTGAGAAAGGGTCTGCATTAAAAAATAGCCTAATAGAAAATGTTTGTGACACTTAACTCCACTCTAATATACCACTGAGAAAATAAACCACCAAGAAGATGATTCTATAGAAAAAGGGGCAAAGGAACTAGCCTATAGCTCTACTCGAGGGAATCTTCAACAGTGTGGGGCTTATTGCAAATCGTGTTTGTAGGAACAAAACTGAAACAACAGAAGGTCCTTCAAGAGCTGAGTAAGTTATTGTATATTCATTTAAAAAAGAGACAATGACATAAAAAGATCTCCAAAAATACAAAGTGGAGAGCGGGAAGGAGGGGCAATTTTCACAATATACAATAAGAGGAACCAGGCACTCACAGGGATCTCCCACCGTAGTTCAATGAAACACGAGATAATTTCATTTTTAATGTACGGTTGGGTTCACAAAAATAAAAAAATATCTCTAGGGGGGTAAAAACATGAGCTCACAATCAAAGATCAGGAGATAAACACGCCAACAAGCCACTGTGTGCGAAACAGCAGAAAATCCTTAAGGTTCAAATCCCCAAGGGCTTCAGACTTGGGTGTACTAAAACACTGAAAAACAACACCTCCCTCAACATGTTTACAGATAAAAGGTCAAAAGGCTGAAGAGCAAGCAGTAAGAAAAAAAACAATGACCAGGACGAGAGGCCACTAGTCACTATATGCCTCCTGACAAAGTGTAGGGCACTGTCTGAGATAGCAAGCCCGCTGCCGCTGCGCCCACTCCTGACGCAGGGGCCCTACAGCACTGTGGCTTTCCCAGGCTTTCTCGGGCAGAGTCGCTGGTGCGTTTCAACCTCTGACCTGTGGTAGCAGCTCAGTGCCTAAACCAGGACACTGCCCCAGCTCCTGTTTCGGCTTGTGCTAGGAGGGGAGGACAAAAGGGAAAACAGAACAAACGTAAACTGGAATCCGAGCCAAGACTGTGGCTTTCTCAATTTATAGGAAACAGAAGGCCCAGTGGAATGCCTTAAATGATCCCACAGGAACATGTTATAAATAAGTTGTGAGGAAAGAGAAACAGAAACCCACCGATAAAAAAAGAGAGAAGCCCCGCTAATTGCAGTGTGGTAGACGACTGATCCTGATTTGAAAAGCTATGATTTACATCAAAAGTAGAAGCCAGTCACAAAAGTTTGAACACTGACTAGGTATTTAATAAATACCATTAAATATTTAATGGCATTTAAAGATCATTATTTTTAAAATGAGGTGTAGTACTGGCTTTGCCATTGTTTTTAATCCTTACCTTTTAAATGACTTATGCTGAAAATGTCTTTGATTTGCTTATAAATAAACGGGGGGG